GAATGTCGAACTGAACCCTTTATTTCGCTCACTGGGGTAGTCTGTTCTAGTTCCACGTGCCATTTCAAATGGATATCAGTTATCTCCTGTTAATTCCCCTCTGAAAGTTCTCCACTGCCTTAACCAGGTATTGAACTCACACTCTTTGGGTCCTGAGAACACATAGCACAGTGGATAAAGACGTTAGTTAGATCCAGTGACAGATTATTTTATATCTCGGATTATTTCTTGTTTTAATTTTTGAAGTTTTTTTTAATAATTTATAGAATGTTGTTAGTATAAAATTATTCTTATATATAAAATTATTCTTAAATATAAAATTATATTTAAATATATGTTTATGATCTTTGTCAATTCTCTAGAACAAAGAAAATGTATAAATCCACTTTTATAAGTTTGTGTTTAATTAAAATTCTAATTATTGATTTTTAAAGCAATGAAGATTGTTGAGGAAGTGAATATTTTTATGATTTAGTAAATTTTTATAAAATAAAATTGTTTTCATATTTATTTCTTTATAAATTGATAAATGATAAACATTGGATTAGTTGGTCCGCATTTTTAATGTTCACATTTTTTGAATGTTGTGAATATAAATTTATTCTTGTAAATAAACAATCTAATAAATAAATAGTGTTTAATTTTTGCCGTAAATTTTCAAAGAACAAAGAAAATGTATAAATTAATTTTCATATGTTTAGGTTTATTAATATTCAAATCATTACTTTTTAAATCAAAAAAACATTGCCGAGGGAGTGAAGGTATTTAAAATAATAGCGGAGTCAATGGAAAAACGTCCTTTTGGCACATCGTTTTATTGCAGGCATGGAGGTTAAACTTTGCCCAATTCTGTTTGTCAGTAATTATCATCCATTCTGTTATTAATTTAGAAGAATGTTTTATTAATTGGAATACAAGTCCAATTGTGACGAAATTTTCAAACTATTCATATTATATCACAAAATAAAATAAAAAAAACTATACTCGGAACACTTATTTTAATATATTGTTATAGTAAAAATTGTGTATCATACATTTAGATTAAAATAGTAATGCATTTATAGCAAAATCATTTACAGTGTATTTTATGGTAAAATTATTTGAAAGTAATCTTTTGAGTTAAATGATTAACTATGACTTTAAATTATCCACTTAAAAGCACTATCTTCTCAGAAATACTTGAATTAATTCTTGGCCAATAACAAAATCATTTTTCATCATTTTAATGCACTCTATAGTAAAATAATTTACAATGCATTTTTGTAGTAAAATAATACATAACTATAGTAGAATGATATACAATTCATTTCTGTAGCAAAATTGTTTCAGTTCAATTTCTATAGTAAAATGATTAACAATTATTTTCATGATTTAATGCATTCTATAGTAAAATCATTTAGAATGCATTTCTATAGTAAAATAATAATGCATATCCGTAGTAAAATCATTTACAAGTACAAAATTATTTTCAGTTCAATTTCCATAACAAAACGATTAACAATCCATTTGCTTAATATCGATAATAGTTCTATTTTTTTCGTAATATTTGCATTAATTCCTGACCACTGACAATCCCTTTGTAGATGTAAAGCCTAAGAAGTGGTGCTCAAATAAAATTTTAATGTAACAAAAATGCAAAATTAAGCAGTTAAATCATCAAATTTTACTTTTAAATCACTCATAGAATAGTATTGTATAGATAATGAACCAGTATAGATAGATAGATAGATAGATAGATAGATAGATAGATAGATAGATTCTTTTACAAAACATTGAGCTTGGATGTTTATTATCTTTGAACAGTATAGAGTTGTCCCATCACAGTAGAATCATTAATGGATCTGTTTACAGTAGTGTAATTTATGTCAGTGAAATTCATATGTGTTTTCATACTGCAAGAAGAGTTAAGTTCATTGTAAAAAGTTATGAACTAAGGAATTAATATATAGATCCTTTACCTTCAATCCAAGTTCCATCCAAGGCAGAATATTGGAATGATGTTCGTAAGGACCAATAATAACAACCTGTAATAGAAATAGGGCTTCTATATTTATAATGTAAAAATGGTGCTACAAAGGAATATATATATATATATATATATATATATATATATATATATATATATATAAAAAATGAAATGGACTAAGTCCGACAATTATTTTAATATATTCTTTGTCTATACGTTATTTTTATAGACACAAATATTTAAGTAAATACTCTGTTTATAATAACCAGTATTAAAAACATTTACTGGCCTGATTGTCCGAGAAATTTCATAGAAAATATGTGTCCTCCAACAGGAATCGAACCTGTATCCTACACAGAAACATCATATAGCCTAACGTGCTATAGCATTTAGCTGGAAAAGAAGCGTCTGGTCAGCAAAGTCGAATTACTGCTTTTAAACTACAAATTTCCAATGATTTCTCTCAAACGCTCATATCTGCTCAAAGCGTATCTTAACGTAAACAGATGACACCATATATTATGAAATGGAGTAATCCGACAATTACTTTAATGTATTTTTTGTCTATACATTCTTTTTACAGACACAAATATTTAAGTAAATGCTCTGTTTATAATAAACAGTATTAACAATATTTACCGGCCTGAATGTCCGAGAAATTTCACAGAAAATATGTGTCCTCTGACAGGAATCGAACCTAAATCTTACACAGAACCGTCATATAGTCTGACGTGCTATACCATTTAGCTACCTCTGTAGCTATGCGCTCTGTCCTTTCAGAACGTTGACGATCATGGCTCTCCACATTTTCCTGTTCTTTGTAGCTCTTAATAAATTTTGTCATTTTTTTCTCTTCTAAACCCTGTGTAGCGATCCATTTACACAAACTAGCTACGTAGGTTATGTCTTGTTTTCCTCTCTCCCTCTTGTCTTCAATCTGTCCTGTGAGTATCAGATTTTCTAAGCCCTCTTTCCCCATTATGTATCATAGAAATGTCAACTGTTTCTTTCTGATGATAAGTATGTCCTTTAAGTTTGAATTTTCTCACAAATGTCTCTGTTGCTCACATGCTTTGTTCATGGTATTCTCAGTATCCTTCTGTGGAACCACATTTCTGTTGCTTCAAGTCTTTTCTTCATCTGTGAGGAGATTGCCCAGCATATAGAAGGACTGATATTACATAACAGTTCAGTACTCTTTTCTTTGTTTCTAACATAATTTTCATGTTTCTTAATACATTGCTTAGCTTTTATGGAGAAGGCAGACTGAGGCAAGTGAATTTGAAAGATTGTCCATGTGTCTTGTTAAAGGCTCTAGTGAAGCTGAGACTCATTGGAAATTTAAATTTAAAGGGCAAGTCTTTTGAAATTATGGCTCCTGGGAATGATAATGTCCTCCCTTTTGCCTTACAGATTTAGGATATTTACCTAAATGAATTGCGGGCACGGTACATTGCTGATATATTTTTTTCTTTTTCTGGCATGTGTTCTGTGACGTATTTTAAATATTATATAGTTCGGGTTTCCTAAATTCTTTTAAGAGTGACTTTATGTGAACGGATCCTAAAGAAAAGTGATTTTAAAGGCAAATAAAATTTGCGCGCATAATAAATGTAAACAAACTCCGGAGACCGGTTGCGTATACGAAGAAAGATTATGCCGAATTACGGTGTCGAATAAAAATAAAATAATTTTCTTATTTCTAAATTCTCGTAACTTTTACGTACATAGGATGCTGAAGATAAAAGGCCTAAGGCCCAAAAGCCCTACACAGGAGCTAGCCTAAAGTCAACTCGAAGTGCATCTTCTAGGTTAGTAATAATAATAACTAACAGGGCCCATGTAAATTAGACGGATTTACTAATAAATGTTTCAATGTTGCATTCTGTACTTTCCAACCGGTGATCATTCCCAGATAAATATAGGAAAAGTCACAGTCTATTTAAAAAACGGAAATGTCTCCAACATAATGTTAGATTAAAAAGCATGATTTGACCTCACACTACAAACAAGTATCTTTATCTCAGATACCCCCACCCAAATCCCTCTCTGTGCCACACTCCCTTTTTGTCTCACTACATCTCTTTACACTATTTACATTGTTCGGACTTTTGTCTGGCCTAGCATAGAGATGAATACAATATGGGAGTGCCAGAGAAAAACAACAATAACGCAATTTGTAATATGAGCTCTGGTAAAAAAAAATGTATTTAAGACATTAGGTTTGTAAATCCCAAAAATTCAATTACTGATGTCTCCAAGGATACATGGGCCAGTGGCTGAAGTAATCTAGTGACTAGACCCAAAGAGTTGTGAGTTCAATATCTGGCCACAAAATCTTGGAAAGTCGAGTTAGTAACTAAAGGGAATTAACTGGAACTGGGATATCCAGAAAAGGCATGGCACGTGGAATTAGAATTAAAACACCAGTGGAGTAAATAAAGGATTCGGTTCGAAATTCCAATGCATATCACCTGAAGAAGGCAGGAGTGTACATCGTGAATATGACAATAAAGATGAGGAGAACACTCCGAACAATGTAAATAGTGTAAATAGTTGCATTACATCATCCCAGAAATATAGACAGATGTCCCTCTCTCTATTTCTCTTTACATTCACCTCATTTTTTATTTTATTTTATTATTTTTTTTACAGTAAGGTTCATCTTATACAATTCCCGGGAGCCACTCGAGGTAGAGGGTTACGTTAATGTGTAGTATAAATGGATAGAAGGGGAAGATAACGGTCAACTCTAGACTTGAACAGGTTAAGATGGTTGTGATCGATGAAACATCCTCTTCAGAGTCTGTTCAACAGGGAAGAAGCTACGATGTAATACAGAGGGAATGTGAGTGGTTTGCTACCATGTAAGTGGCATGGTGAGTCCTACATGAAGATTTGACTTGGCAGAACCAAGTCCGAATACTTTCCATGGTAATAGCGATGGAGCAGTGAGAGATTCGCCACATCCTGCCAGTGAGAGAGAGAGAGAGAGAGAGAGAGGGGGGGTTGGGGGATGGAAAATAATTCTTCTCCAACTAGGACTCGGAGACGGTTTTGAAGAAGGCTGGAAAGTAAGAACTGGGCAGCTCCCGCCCAAATATGGCAACAGTACTCCATTTTCGGCATCATTTTGGCACTTTTGGCAGGTAGAGGATAGCATGAGGAGTCAGGTACTTACTGCATCGGTACAGGGAGCCGATCATTTTACTTGCATCTTTAGCGATGGATCGTGCATAACTGTTCCACTTGACGTCGAGTGTGTGTTTGAGGTCCAACATGGTCCTGGTGCCTACTCAAGGGGACATTCGTTCATCATGACTGACTAACGCCTTTATCCACTGCGCCATGTGTCCTTGAGGACTGGATCTAACTAACGCGTTAGTTAGATACAGTGACAGAACCCAAAGAATGTGAGTTCAATACCCGGTTAAGGCAGTGGAGAACTTAGAGAGAGGAATTAACAGGAGATAACTGATAACTGACATCCATTAAACATGGCACGTGGAACTAGAACAGTCTTCCCCAGTGAGCGAAATAAAGGGTGCAGTTCGACATTCCAACCACCTGAAAAAGGTCGGAGCGTACAACGGTCGAAACGTTGTAATAAATATGGCGACAAAGATGAGGACAATAGTCCGAATAATGTAAAGAGTGTCATCTCAGAAATATAGACAGATACTGAAAGGCCGAAAGGTTGTGATAAATATGGCGACAAAGATGAAAACAATAGTCCGAATAATATAAATAGTGATCGATTAAGGATTTAGGATAAATAGTATCAAAGGCATTCATATTTGTTTGGAAATTGACGAGTTTTAATCGTAATTATTTATCGACCCACTTTATAACCTCTAGGCATTTATTGACCTCCCCTCCCTGCCAGGCATTTATAAACCTCCTGGATAGTCATATCAAACACTATGAGTTGATATCGACTATTTTAAGGACCTGTGTTTAAACAATTTTTTTAGTTCCAGCAATTCCTATTATGAATATCCTTTGAATCCCCTCAAAAAAAAAAAGAAGAAAAAATATTTTTAGTTTACATTCCGTTTAGATTAGGATGTTCACAGCTGTTCGGAAACTTTTATCGTTTGAAAATCTTATGTAACATTTCTTTTAATTCATTGCTAATAGAAAAAATCTATAAAAGGCAGAGTTGTGTGTGTGTGTGTGTGTGTAACGAATGCACGGCCGCAATTTTCGACGGATTTGCACCACAATTTACATGCACATGCTCTAAGTTAGTGGGAAGGCCAAGACCGACTTTGCATTTCCCAGCTCCCATCGATAGTGGAAATAATCGATTTTCTCATGCTTCTACGGCAGTTTTCATGTAGTTTGCAGCCATTTTCTACCGGCCAGAGTGAGAGCCTATAACTGGCTGCCACGAATAGGCAGGAAGATTCTATTGGCCAGCGTGAGAGCCAACAACTGACTGACACGAATGTTAACTAGCATGCAAAAAAAATCGATAGCTGCATTCGTCACAAGTGGGAAAAAATTAAATCTGCATGGCACTTTACTCCAATTGGCTCATTCGCTTGCTTAAATTCAACGTTGATTTTGATTCCGCAGAACTGGGTTGGGTGTAAAAAAGTATTTGTTGTTAAAGTTCTTTTTTCATTCGGTTTTTCCAGTTACGAGTCCTTTTTTAAAGCTGATCGTTTTGTGTTCATTTTGTTTAGTTCTTTTTTCGTAACGGATTTAATGTTTAGTATAGAGCTTAGAAAAAATTCGCAGTGTGAGATAGGCAAGATGTAAGGCATAGAGCAACATCAGCACGGCAAAGGGCAAAAATATTTTAAGTCAAGTGATAGCGATTGCTGTATGAGTCGTACGATTTTTGAATCAAGCCCGGGCAACGCCGGGCCATGCTGCTAGTATTTTCTAAAAAAATATTTTTTTTTGTATTAAGCCAAAAAACAATTAAGTGATGGTTCTTTTCCATAACATGTGGATTTTCCTAACAGTTAAACAGTTGACTAATTTTCTACAAGTACTAAAAAAAAAAACAGAGTAGAGATTAAAGACATTTCTAAGATTTCCCTAGTATAGTGAAAAAGACGGAGCCACAGTCCAACATAATATATTTACATGATTAGAATATTTGTCCAAACAATGCATAGAATGAAAAAAGAAATGATTTTTATAAAAAAAAATTATCTTCTATAACACAGTGAAAGTTCCTAAAACTCCAAACTGACAGGTCAGGACTAACCGTTTTCTCTATGTCGGCAGAATTCTTCAGGTCAAGGCCTCCAATCAGTTTGTGAATAGCTCCAGTGCACCCGGTTCCCGTGAAGATAACTACGTCATCGTCGGTTGCATTCACAGCATTTCGGATGAGTTCCCTAAAAAATGTTTAAAATTAAAAATAAATTAATATTTTACAAAGTAAAAGGGCCAAGAAACAAAAATAGAAAATTAGGTTTCTATAGTAATTTTCTTAGCATAGCCTACATGTGGCACAAAGCCAAAAGTATGAGGAACCCTTCAGGGTCGAACTTAATATTCAGTCCTAACTAAGCAAACGAGACAAGTTTGCTAATAATTACACTATGTAAAAATATATATATTTTTTAAATTCAGTTTTTCTTGTGTCCTTACTTTTTGTTTTGGTTGATTTGCAGATTCGAACCTGCTCTCAGTTTCCAATCAAAGCATTCCGGAATACTTACATTTAGATGTAAATATACATGCTTCATTCGAAAATGACTTGATAAATTTGATAAAATCTACCGTTTTGGAGTTATCAACAGTAAAATTTTGGATTCATTCGCGTCACGGCAGCCATTACTGGCGTTGTCTGCATACACTTGCTACACAGGAAGTGAATTTGGCCATGTCATTCACTACATTGCTTGTACTCCATTGCTTTAACTGTATAATGTTACTCAATATGAACCGTTAGTCCTTTGATCGTGCTAACCATCACCCTCTTTTGTTAAGTCATATTTCTGTATATATTACAATAATATTAATCTGAAAAACAAGTTGACTAGCCATTACAGGACTCTACTTATGACTATTAGATTACCTTGCATCGTCACGAAAGCGACTTGTCTGGCGGGAATTAATGCTGGTTGTTGTGTGTGTATTTCCATAAAATGGCTGGACGTAATTTCGGATGTAATCCTCTATAAAAGTGAGAGACCTGTAAAAGACAAAGAGTTAAAGCAGTATTAGTGCATTGTTTCCCAATATTGGACTAAGTAACCACTTTCATCTTTTCTTTACAAATGATGTGAACTCATGTTTTTGATTGCTATGTTGCCATGATTTTAAATAAGCTCCTTCGATTCTTCTCATGTTAATGGTATGAGAACATTGCATTTTCCTTGTGAAAGTTTTTTTTATTTTGCTTAAATTTATGTAGGCCCAATTTTTTACAAAGACGCTGCATAAGGCATAATTTTCAAGCCACCGGCTCTTACTATAACGCAATGGTTAGCAAGCTGATCACGCAGACTAGATCATTAGTATATAATGACTTCAAAGATTAATGGGTGTCCTACTATAGAGGTACCCAATGAGGACTGACGTTGTTCAGCAGCCACTGCCATATATACCCGATTATTGATTAAATATTACATCGCACTTCAACACTCTTTCATTTGTTTTTAAAGATAGTTTCCTATCTCTTAATAATTTTCTTTGTTTTTTAAAAACACTTTTCGCTTTCCCTATGTGCATTCAGATTCTTGTTTGCACTTAGCGTCATCTTTTGCTACACAATCCAGGTAACTACATTTCTGTACCTGCTTCATGTTGAAAATTCCACTACCTTGATTGATTGATTTGATTTGTTTAACGGCATATCAACACTTTATGGGTCATTTAATGCCGAAATTTAATTTTGCAGAGAGCTTTGAAGTAATAAAAAAAAATGTGATATATGTTATTCTGCTTTCACAGTTGAGAACTTGGTAGATGATACTCAACTTTGTACATATATATGTTTGTGTGGACATAATTACTATAGTTGTGTTTTATGGTACGTGTGTTTTTTATTTATTTATTTATTTTTTTAAATTATATTTTGTAAGACAGTTTGATTTCTTTAAGAAATTATACGATATTATATGGATTAATGTCGATGAAAATTTTCTTTCACATTGGTTTCAGGAGTTTTTGAGTAGTGAGAGGCTTGCAACGCGACTTCTGTGGGAAAGTGGTTGTAGGATAAAAAAAAATTCATCACCAACAAGGCCGCAGAAGGAAAGTGCTGCAAAGTTTCAAACTTGTTATAGATTTTTATTGCTGTTTGATTTTATCTACTGATTGCTGTCTCTCTCTCTCTCTCTCTCTTTTTCTCTCTCTCTCTTTTTGAAACATGAGAACTCTTATGTAGCGACGGAATCATATTTTTTAAAATAATAATTATAATTTAGGGTCTACTTGTATATTGAGCACTGTTTTTTAAAAATAAAAACCAAAATACTAAAGAACTTCGGATTATTAACCCAACGGTTCTTTCCTATTTTTCTATATATTTGCACACACACACACACACACACACACACACACACACACACATATATATATATATATATTCGGCTCTCCCGTCGAATCCGACATATGAGGGTCAAGAAGATCAGTTCCTAGGAAACCGACAGCCCGACAATAGCACATGAGATTTGATTATAGTGGTGAGGGTTTTGTGCAGAAGCATTCACACTTTTTGAAGGGCCGAATACAGAGACCTGGTGCAATACGTGCCACAAGGTCCCCAAACGACCATCCGCAGGTTTTGAATTCAAAGTTGTCCTTCTCCTAGACCCGCTGCCATCCAATGCTATAGAACCCAGTCTGGCCTGCTATTTACTCATAGCTGGAGGGAAAAGAAGAGGATTCATACCTTTCCAAAGGGTAAGTGAATGTAATGGATTCAACTGGAATTCGAACTCGGCTCTCCGATTCCTCAATCCAAGCCATTACGACACCGTGTCTCCTTAATATATATATATATATATAATATATATATATATATATATATATATATGTGTGTGTGTGTGTGTGTGTGTGTGCGCGTGCGCGTGTGTGTATGGTACGACGGTAAATTGTAGCCATTTATACTTTTAATTTCGCATGTGCGTTGTTACTGGTTGATTTTATTGACTGCACAGTATAGTAAGGTCAGTTGGAGACCCTCTGTGAGATAAAGAGCATCATGACACAATTCACTCCTTCAGAAATTTGGGAACGGATAGCTGTACTGCTTGGCCTTCGTGCCTGAAGCTCCAATACGAAAGTTTCAGAGTGTTTGGGTGTCAATATGAGGACAGTGCAGACGATTTGGAAAGAGTTGGAAGAGTTTAATGGTGATTACGAAGGTACGACAACTAGGAAAATTCACTCTGATCGTTCTGATGAGGAAAGAACTGCAGGATTTGTTGGTGAGGGCCTCAGACTCAACACGAAGGCCTACATTAAGTGCTTTGAGGAGGTAGTGCTGACCTTGGTCAACAGGGTGGCTGCTGGAAAACCCTATGTTTGACAACAGGACCCCGCAGAGTGCCACACAAGTAGGCGAGCCCAGTCATTGTTGTCAGACACTTTTTTTTTTGCCCACATCACTGCTTACATCTGGCCACCTAACTCCCAAGACTGCAACCTTATTGATTATCATCTGTGAGGCACAGTTGAGAAAGAGATCAACAAAATTCCTTGTGACACCAAAATGAAATGAAGGCAAAAATTATGGCAGCATTCACCAACTTAAACAAGGAGACTGTCCAGAAGAATTGCAGAAGATTTCGAAGTCGTCTGAAGGCTGGGGCTGAATCCAATGGCGATTTTATCGAATAAATTTACTCTTTAATTTTGGTAAATTATATCTGTTAAAATGAGATGTTATTTTCATTTGTACGTAATTTAGATGACAATTTATCCATCGCACACTATATATATATATATATATATATATATATATATATATATATTGTCGATTGATTCGTTCTCTATGGCTTATCCACTATAGCTTATTAAAAGCCAGTAATATTTTAGATTGACGGAGATGAGGTAGATAATAATGATTTAGTGATACAGGTCTTACTAATTAACCCATAGCGGGGGAAGAGATTGATTCATGCATAAATGAACCCAACTGACAATTCTGAGCCATTATCCACTACATCTCTTGCACATTCAAGCTTACAACACTTACTGTATGTGTATGCGTGTATGTGAGCCATTTTGCTATATTAACTATTAAATATTGTGTATGACTACATGTAATATTATCACGAGAACAAATCACTTATACGCTATCTTATTGTTTTGTGTCGATGTAAGAGACTCTACTTCCCTCTTTTTGGTTGGTGTTTATATATCCATGTGGAACGCCGTTTTTCCCACGCGTGCACGTTCCAGACACCATCCCACAAGTCAACTTTGCAAAGTGGATTCCGGTGTCATCTGATGTGAGTCGCATACTTGCATTTTAAACTGATAGCAACCTGGGTCACATTTTTTACATGAAAAACAAAGAATTTTTGAACTCTGTTTAGATACGAGATATACATCAACATATTCACACATTTCGCTGTAATATAGCAACAACACTAAGTAAAAGCTTATGAAACTTTATTTGATTAATTCAGCTTTAGCGCTGAAAACGTTTATTTTATTATAATGGATGGCTACAAGCAAGAAAGGAGGTGGGATGTGCGTATTTTATTACCACAGTATGAGAAACCCCTTCAAGAAAAGAAAGGCCCTTTGATCCAAAAGGTGTTAATGAATTAGTTTAAGAAAAGACAAGGAAACTTCAATTTTTAGACGATTCCTCGAAATCTAGAAGAGAGACATTTGGAAACATTTGGCCTATATATATATATATATATATATATATATATATATATATATATATATATATAATATAAAAAGCTCAAACACTAATATTCCATGGTTATAATTTATTACATTGGAATCGTATCACGATCCAATTCATCAGATCTACAAATTCAAAAAGCTTTTTGAATGTGTAGGTCTGATGAATTGGATCGTGATTACGATTCCGATGTAATAAATCATAACCATGGAATATTAGTGTTTGAGCCTTTTATATTATATTCTTACTCTGTCCTGGACATTGAGTTCTACCTGGATTCTATCCCCTTGGGAATTTATATATATATATATATATTATAATTAATTAAAAAAAATTCCTTCGCTACATAAGAGTTCTCATGTTTCAAAAACGAGAGCTGAAACACTCAATATAGTTATTAAAATTAATAACTCTTAGGCCCCTTATCAAAATGGTCTCTCCAGCCGTTTCTATAGTAATGAATTTTGCGAATGAACATGCTTATAAATATGCGTAAATTTCAAGATTGGCTATTCCTAAATTTTCGCATGAGGATGAAACAGGGCTTGATACTTTAATTCAATTTAATTTTAATAATTATATTAAGGGTTTCGGCTCTCGTTTTTGAAACATGAGAGCTCTTATGTAGCGAAGGAATCATATTTTTTTTTTTTAAATAATTATAATTTAAGCTGTACTTCTGTATGGAGCACAGTTTTTTTAGAAATAAAAACAAAAATACTAAAGAACTCCGGATTATTTACCTAACGTGTTCTTTTCTTATTTTTCTACATATCTGCACACGCACACACACACACATATATATATATCTATATATATATATATATATATATATATATATATATATATATATATATATAATATTATCGCTAATATTATATATATATATATATATATATATATATATATATATATATATATATATATATAGCAAGAGAGAGAGTATCTAGAATACTTTTACAAACTTTGAGGGCGGGTTCCTCACACTAAGTCAATGACCACTTCACATGTGCTGATACCTGGATTATCTACGGCAGCCTGTAGAATATCTTCTTAATGGTTAGGCGTACGAGCAGATCTCGGTCTTCCCCAAGCCATAGTTTGTGGTGCCACGGAACCTTCTCCGTGCTGCGATGATAAACAGCAGCAACGGTTGGATGACTTGTCTACCTTTGGCAAAAAAGTGGAAGTACCTATATACCAACAAGTCTTAAGTGAAAGCTTATGAGTCATTATTTGACTAATTCAACTTTAGTACTGAAAACGTTTATTTTATTGTAGTGGACGGTTACAAACGTGATGGAAGATGGTATGTGCTTTTTTTATTACCACACTCACCATCTACTAAAGAAAAATTGTGCCACATCAGTAATCGAACCTGTATCCATTTTTCCATCAAGAAAACTGCTCCTATGACCAAAACGTTTCGCTATGACTACTAGTTCTAGGCTAACTCTTATTAATCACACAAGGATAGAAACTAAAACCCGTACACACTAAAAACTATGTTTATAGTTAAAAGAAATAATGTGAATATAAAAGGTACTTATATTTCACTTTTTATCGCAACTTGCAGTTTCATGTGGACGCACGTTTATTTGTGGGCGGCCGCACAATCGTGAAAGCTTTGAAAATGACAGGAAATTCAATTCTAAACTAGGAGGTCATTACATGACCAATACTATATACTGTGGAGCAGGATTGAGTGGGCAAGCCGATTTAGGTGAAAAAAAAGAGATTGCATGAGCATGATATCACCATATTAGGCGTGCTACACGGGATGTCTGGGTGTATGGTATCGAGGAAGTGAAGTAGGTGGATAAAGGCTTTAAACTTAACTCACACCACCATTCACATCCAAAAGATTATCTGTGAGGATGCTGACTGTCCAAGTTACATTATAATTTAGTTAAAATTCATTCGCAAATACGATGTATAAATTGTCGTCTAAATTATGCTAAAAATGAAAATAATACCGATATATCATTTTAATAGATATAGTTACCAAAATTACCCAAAAATATCTTGAAATACTAAAAGAGTAAATTTATTCAATAAAATAACAATTGAGATCAATCAAGACTTCGGAATTTCCTACAAATCTTCTGGAAAATCTCAAGTGTTCAAGTTGGCGAATGCTGCCATAATCCTTGCCTTCAGTTCATCTTTGGTGTTACAAGTAAGTTTTTTGGCCTCTCGCTCAACTGCGTCCCACTCATAATAATCAAGGGGGTTGTTGTCTGCGAAGTTAGGTGGCCAGATGTAATGGATGATGTGGTCGTAGAAATTGTCTTATAACCATGAATGGGTTCTGCGTGTGTGGCATGGTGCAGAATCTTGTTGTCAGACATAGGGCTTTCCAGCGGCCACCATCTTGACCCAGGGAAGCGCCATCTCCTTAAAGCTCTTGATGTAGGCCTTCATGTTGAGTCGGAGGCCCTGTGGGAAGATGAATAGAGGCATGTAAGTGATCCCCATTAGACACATCCAATTCTTTCCGAATCCTCTGCACTCTCCTGAGATTGACATTCAAACACTCTGAATTGTTTGTAATGGGGCGTCCTGTGCCAAGCAGTACAGGGTGCCGTTTCCAAAATGTCTGGCAGAGTAAATTTCTCTCATGCTGCTCTTTTTCTCACAGACGGTGCCCAAATGACCCTACTATACTGTGCAAAATCAAAAACAAACAACGCGCATGCGCGAAATTAAAAAAAAAAATACAACATGGCGACAATTTATCTATCGCACCTTGTATATATTTCAAATTCATTCAAATTGTCTGTGTGTGTTCGGGCGTGAGTGTGTGTATGTGCTTGCGTATGGATATTGCGCGCATGCATATTTTAATTCAATGATAGGCCTAAAAGTATTTCTACAAAATTAAAAAAAAAAAAAATTATTACCGAATAATTTTCGAAAAGTTTAATAAAAAATGATTTGATTTTAGGTGGATTAAAAAATGTAATTTTGTTCATTTTATTTTATTTTATTTTTGTCTCCAGATTTATGATTTTATTACTCAGCCCAGGTTAGGTGTTGTCCAAACTGGGTAGAAGGAGAATTTATTATTCAAATGCCTTATTTTAACTCAGTCAAATTGTGTGCAATGTGTACATGTGCTTCTGTGTTGTAGCATACCTAAGTACGATAATGGGTATGTCGCCATTCGCATAAATACAGTAGTAAATACTGTATGTTGGTCTGCAGTTGGAGATTCGTCTCCAGCTATGCTGGTCAAACTCTCTGCCTCCAGGCATAGAGGATCCCCAGATGAGGCTATGTTGAAGGGCAGATTCACGTCTCGGGAAACAGCTAACCGACCCCTTTTTATACGGTACCTACAAGGAAATTTTGGCCGAGCCTACGGGCTCGGATACCCCACATTAAATTCGGCTTTGTGTCACATCTGACCGCGTGGGGCGGTTGGCAAATATCCTGCTATTGGAGATTCATTGTGGAATTCACTTGACTCACTTCTAGCAGTTGACTACTACTTCTACGCGTCGCTGGCGAATCTTATATGTGTTGTTCTTGTCCTAAGTATTATCGTTCATTACCAACCATCGTGTGATTATTCTATTCAGTAACCGTCCATAAATTACAACATTGTGTATACATTTAAATGGTACAAGCATATGAAAGTCACTCGTGCTCAACACAGAAATACGAACATATATTAAAAAAATATGAATTTTGTTTTTATCTCCAAATCTATGATTTTATTGTTCAACCCATTGTAGGGGTTGTCCAGACTGAGTGGGAGGGTGAATGTATTAATCCAATGTCTTATTTCAAACTCAGTTAAACAGTGTGTGTGCTTCTGTGTGTGATTGTATGTCCATTCAATGGCACAAGCACTTGTAAGCTACAACACAGACATACTAATATACATTAGATACATGCAGAGGCTTACGGAAACATCACGTTGAAACACCGGTTCTCGTACGATCACCGAAGTTAAGCAACGTCGATCTTGTCAGTACCTAACTGAGTCACCGCTTGTGAATACCAGGTGCTGTAAGCCTGGATGTGCAGGTGGTGTAATGAATAATGGCTCATAATTGTTAATCGGAGAGCTGAGTTCCAATTCCCGTTGGTTTCGTTACATTCGCCTACGTTCAAATACATTTGGGAAAAGTATGAACCCACATTTTCTCCCTTCAGCTATGGGTTAATTAGTAAGATGAGTATCACTAAAGTGTTATTATCTATAAAAAAAATCTTACAATCTGAAAATATTTTCTGGCTTTAAGTAACCTGCAAAGAGTTGATAAGCCGTGGAAACACATCAATCAATCAACATTATTCGAAAAGTACAAAGGATCAAATTGGGTAAATCCTTGAGTTTGATTAGCTTCTGTAACAGAAAAATGCTGAGTATATTATGGACCGAATATATGAGTAACGACAAAGTTTTAGAGAAAATGGAAACAAAAAGGAAACTTATATACAACATCAGGAAGAGAGAGTTGAAATTTCTAAGGCACATACTGAGGAAAGAGGATTTCGAAAATCTGATACTCACAGGACGGATTGAAAGCAAGAGAGATGGAAATAACGCATAACATCCTCAGTGAGCTTGAGTTAAAGAATGGCGGAACAAGGTTTAAGAGAAATAACAAAAAGACAAAACTTATTAAGAGCTAAGAAGGACAGGAAATTGTGGAGAGCCATGATCTACAATACCCTAAAGGGACACAGCACATAGAAGAAGAAGAAGAAGAAGAAGAAGAAACTTGTGTAAATTGTTGGCATGACAACAATTAGGAGAGATAACAAAAGATAAAAAAAATATTAAGGGCTACAAAGGGCGGGAAATTGTGGAGATCCATGATCGCCAACGTTCTGAAGTGACACAGCATATAGAAGAAGAAGCTACAAGAGGAAGGAAGTTTTGAACTTAAGGGACACAGTACATTAAGATTAATTCAAAAAAACATCACAGTTATTAAATCTAGTAGTAGCTTTAAGTCGTAGAAAATGAATTAATAAATAAAAAATATCCATGCATGTAAAGTCACACGAGCAGACAGTATGTAGTGGATAGAGTATTATAGTTTTCAACTGACACAAATTACTGCATTATACACTTGAGAGATTGTATGCATATCTGCAGCAACTGCAGTACAAATGTGAAATTTCTTAGTTCACTTACTGAAATGTATATCAGATTTCGATTTGCTTAATTGTGCCAGTGTAGATCGTGATAATCAACTTGCTTTATGTTACATCGGAATATGGCGTCGCTTCCGACACTTGAGTTTGAACATAGATCGCCAGTGAGCAAACACAGGCGATCCCATTATTGAATTAAGTAGACCACGTGACCATAGAGGAAACGCATATGTGGGAGGTAGCGTGTGTCTAATTGATCGTACAACGGACCGCTATTCTCTACTCTATTCACTATACTATTCCTCTATTCGGATCACTATACGGATTACTATTCCGAGCGAGTATTATCGAGCAAGTACTATCAGTGCGTGTGCTATTCGAAGGCGTCTGACACCAGCATTGTTCAACGGCGTACTAGTTATATTTGCGATTACAAAGTCTCTACTACAATGAGCATTACGAAAGTGACAACGAGTATTCGCTGACATCACAATAGTGGCAACGAGTATTCGTTGACATCACAAAACTTTAGTTCTTGCATAACATCCTGTACAGCATCAAAAACAAAAACATTGATATAATATATTATTTTATCAGATTTTTTTTTTAATAATTTCATCCCAAGTAAGGCTGAAATGCCAATAGTAAGCAGGAATTTACAGGGAGGGAAAGTTAAAGAAAAGACTGAGTATAGGGAGGATTGAGGAAAGGACAAAGGATGAATGGAGTTCAAGAAGTCAGAATATGGCAAATGACATTGCATTTAAATTTTTAAAGATTGTAGTTATCAAGGAAGCAAGTAAACGGAAAGGAGTTGCACAGGTGGGAAGAGCGAGAAAAGAAACTGCTGGAGTAGAAGTGGCGGTTGCATTTAGCTTTTTAAACTGTAAAGGGGTGGGACCAATCTAGTAGCACCCTTAAATCCATGTAGTTGCGACACCAGAGAAAAGTAACTAGTCAGGGTAGTTGACATGAAAATATTTGTAGAAAAGACAGAGGGAAGCCACATCATGTCGGATACTTTTTTCAATCTGAGGAGAGTCAACTGGAGTTAAACTGAAGAATATTTTCTTTGCTCCAAACATAAACTTGAATTTTACATCTTTGTGAATGTTGGAAAATGCTCACTATAAATTTCACTATTTGATGTTAAAATATAAGCTTACATGTGATGATACATCTCCGATGAGATTCAAGTGTGTTCACATATATTAAGTACAGGGCATTGACCTCCGGAAAAAGCACTTTTCTATATCGACAGCCATAAAATTCTGACAATCTAAAAATATTTTCCGGTTTTAATAACTTGTAAAGGACCGATAAGCCGTAGAAAACAAATCAATCAATGAAAACCTCATTAGCTAAACAGGCAAGTCTTTTAGATTTATTTACATTCTCTGGAAAATAAATGTAGAGAAACTACCGAGGCCACAAAGTGAGGGATCATTTTATATACTGACTGTAATATAAAGTTGATCCCCCACTTTACATCCACATAATTTCTTATTTGTTTATCAAATTCTGATTGGGCATGTATCCATATATACTCCCCCCCCCAGCTGTGTTAATTAATAAGACTTGTATCACTAAAGCATTATTTCAACAAAAAATTCTTACAATCTAAAAAAATTTTCTGGCTTTAACCGGGTATTGAACTCACACACTTTGGGTCCTGTCACTGGAATTAACGCCTTTATTCACTGTGCCATGTGTCCTTCACAGGACCCAAAGAGTGTGAGTTCAATACCCGGTTAAGGCAGTGGAGAACTTGGAGAGGGGAATTAACAGGAGATAACTGATGACATCCATTAAACATGGCACATGGAACTAGAACAGTCTACCCCAGTGAGCGAAATAAACGGTTCAGTTCGACATTCTAACCACCTGAAGAAGGCCGGAGCGTACAGCGGCCGAAACATTGTAATAAATATGGCGACAAAGATGAGGACAATAGTCCGAATAATGTAAAGAGTGTACATAATACCTCATCTCAGAAATATAGACCGTTTTTGACTCTCGTGCCATCAGGTGTGTTTTAGTTTTTTTTTTAGCCACATTCGAACTGAATCGCTACAGACTCAAAGATCCAAAAGAAAACCTATCAAAATTATGGCTAAAAGATTTGCCACTTTTTTAACTTCAAGGTGATTTCTTTTGTCAGAATAAATTATATTAAAAATCTTCTTTCAGCCAACCCAGAACTTACAGCAATGATATTAATTATATTTTTAACTATTATATATCGGCTATTAGTATATAAGATTATTTTCGGATAATCCAACAACCAGCTTTCTAAGCTTTTATAATTTTAAGAATCGGTTCGCAGGAATCGGTAGGATGCCACCACTGCTTATAGTCTAACATTGTCGAAATCAAGAGTGGAGCTGAAACACATGCACAGTACTCAGTAGACTACCTACCGTTTGTGTCACTCGGGACGTTGATAGAATTTGCCGCCACTCTAAGCAACATCTACTTCATTGTAAGAAAATGCTATCCATTCTATTTCTTCTATGTACCGTTTTCCTTCAGGGCGTAGGCGATCATGGCGCTCCACAATTTCTTGTCCTTTGTAGCTTTTAATAAATTTTGACTTTTTGTTATCCCTGCTAAATCTTGTTCCGCCATCCATTTACTTAAGCTCACTAAGTAGATTATGCGTTGCTTTCCTCTGCCCATCTTGCCTTCAATCAGTCCTGTGAGTTTCATTGCTCGGTCCGAGGTATTCTCAGTATCCTGTAGGTGCCCAGTTTTGTTGCTTGAAGTCTCTTCTTCATGTGTAAGGAGATTGTCCCGTATTTACGGCTTCATTGTTTCATTTTCATTAAAGCCCTCCTTTCTCATTATGTGTCCCAAAAACATCAGCTGACTCTTCTTCATGTTAAGTATAAGCCTCCTCCTTATTTGCATCCACTCTAAGACCTCGTCGTTGCTCACACGCCCGATCCATGATATCTTTAGCATTCTGTAGAACCACATCTCCGTCGCCTCGAGTTTCTTCTTCATCTTTGAGGAAATCGTCCAAAATTCGCTGCCATAAAGAAGGACAGATGTTACGTAACAGCTCAGTGCTCTTTTCTTCGTTACAACAGAAATGCTCGCCTTCAATAAACGGGTAACAGACTCCTGTAAATGTTACAGATGATATCTCTACCTTTTCACATATAATAGTTAACAGGAATTTACAAACATTCTGAAGGGATACTTACCGACCTGAGGCTGTGAAGTCGCAGTAGACAACTACAAAAAATAAAAATAAAAGGAAATTAGAAAAATGTTTTTTTTTAATACTTAGCATAAATCATTCAGAATATGTGGTTATTTGTGACAAATGACAGCCGTAATTATTAACCAAATTTAAATCATTACAGAGGCCAATACAGCTTACGTTTGTCATTAAAAATAACAGCATAATTACTTAAGTCCTTATCATTATTGAAAGATTTTCACGTGTGATTTTTTAGTGACTTTCTCACAGACCTGATGTGGTTTCCCTCCGTCTTTTCTACAAATATTTTCATGGAAACTGTTCTGATGAACTATCTTCCTTGATACCCCGACTACATAAATTTAAGCGTGCTACGAGATTGGCATCTAGGCCCCACTCTTTTACTGTTGAAATAGTTAAATATAACCACCACTTCTACTCCAACAGTTTCTTTGCTCGCATTTCCAGACAGTGGAACTCCCTTCCTCCATCTTGTTTCCCGGATAAGTACAACCTTCAAAAATTTTAAATGCAGCATCAACCGCCATCTTCTGTTGACTTGATTCCTGTTCATCTTTTATTCTTTCCTCAATCAGTCTTTTTCCTCACTTTCACTCTCTGTAACCCCCTTGCATACTAGTGACACTCCTGACTTGCTTGGGGTGAAATGCTTAAAAAATATGTATCTTCTAATTATTAATATGTAGTAATCCTGGGGGACCAGAATATTACTTAATAAAAATAAAAAATCAATCCCCCTCTTTATGTCCATTTGTTTATCCACGGCATCATTGTTAAATTCTTACGTAAAAATAGTTTTGCAAAAGAAATGCATTGTAAATGATTATTAGTGTAAGAGATACGAAATTTGAACATAGAATAAGCTGTGTTGGGCGTAATTTCGCTCTATACTGCAAAAACAAAATATTAACCTAGAAATTCGAGTTATGTCCTTGAATAGCCTCGCCAGTTTGTCATGTGCGGCACCAAACTCGTTCAGAAATATCTAAACTGTTAGCTTTATACAACTGATTTCTCAGATTAATGGTTAAAGATGTTTTCCAACAAATAAACACAGTAGGTCTTAGCAAGAATCCCGTGAACTAACACTACATAATCGCAAAGAACTGTACCAAATAAGAGGAACTACATCACACAAGGACACACTAAAATGGTTATGAGATATAACTCGAAGAGAAAATAATAATATAATCAAGATGTTTAAGTTCCACACTACTTCAAGCAAAAAAGTTAGGAAGGAAACCCCATCAATACTGGAAAAGGTGATAATCTACGATTCATCTGTGCATTGAATATTACTGCCATATCTAGTCTGGATGTTCTGCTGTACATTGCGAGATTCTTGACAAAATTCAAAAAAGGGTCTGTATAACTCGACTTCAGTCACTTTCTTTCCGAAGTGACGCGGCTTCACACTGTCTTTACTACAAATATTTTCATGGCAACTTAGCTTTTTTTCCCTGGTGCTTCTACTACATGAATTGAAGCGTGCTACTGGATTGGCAACTAGGTCTCACCGTTTTACTGTTGAACTAGCTAGATGTAACCGCCATTACTACTTTTTCTTTTTTCGTCTATGGAACTCTCTCCCGATTTCCCGCTTCCCTGATAAGTACAATCTTAATAAAATTAGATGCAACGTGTCAATCGCCATCTTCTGTCTTCTTGAACTTTGTTCCTATTTTGTCCTTTCCTCAATCATACCCACTACAATCTTTTCATTCTCTTTCACTCCCTGTAACCCCCCCACCTGCGCCTTAGAGGTCTCATCGCCTTGCTTGGGATGAAACGATTAAAAAATTAACAGTTGACTTGAGAAGTCTATTTTTCTGAAAAACTGATTTAATAGAAAGATTTTATAAGTTTAATCCTAAAATATCGTTGGTTTCTCGATCAAAGAATGCTGTTTCCTTATAAGGAAAAGGCTAAAATTACAATTACCATTAGAGATGAGGAGAACAGATACTACACTTTGATCAGTAACTGGAGTTATGAAAGTCATTCAGAAGTATCGTAGCTTTTTGCTGTATACAACCATTTCCTCACATCTATCTGCTATATCTGGCCTTGAGATACCTAGTCCTCACTTGCTTGTCTGGATAAAGTTCAAAAGCATCTACACGGCCTTGTGAGTGATGAATTATTTTTCACCCTAAAACCCCTTTTTCCACAGACAAGACCATGACCAATTGAAGCTTGTAGGTCTTAGCAGAGGCTCTGCTTTTTCAAGACTCATGGTCTGGCGCTACAGAATCACAAAGAACTGTACCAAATAACAGAAACCACTTCACTTGAGGACTTTCAACAGCAGCAACAACTTAAATTGATAGCACATGTAATTCAAAGAAAAAATAATAATATAATCAACAGGTTGATGTTCCATAATAATTCAAACAAAAGGTTAAGAAGACCCCCATCATAAAGCTGGAAATATATAAACTAAAATCTAATACTAATATATATAAAAATAATACTAATATAAAACTAAAATAAAATACTAATATATAAAAACATAAAACTGGAAATAACAATAACAGTGGACTAATCTATTTTTCTGAAAAACCGGTTTATAGAAAGGTTTGTATAAACTTAATACTAAAATATCATTGATTTCTCGGTCAATGAATGCTGAATGTTTATATTTCCTTATAATTTTCCTTCTATTGCTAGAGAACATGTTTGAACAGTAGAAAGGGCGATAACAGTTAGTGGGCATGAGAAATCTATTTTCCCGAAAAACTGTTTTAATAGAAAGATTTTATAAATTTCAACCAATTTTAGCACTGGCTGCTCGGTTAATGAATATCAAATATTTCCTTATAATTTCCCTTCTGTAACCATAGAACTTATTTGTAAATCTAGAAGAAACTGTTTATTATAGAACAGTAATTAATGCAAGCATTACTGAAAGAATATGGCTATTGTATATGTTTAATAACAAAAGAGCTTACCTTTTACCGGACCATATGGACCTTTGACGACCAAATCTGATCCAATGATATTGTCTCTTATATACTTGAACATGGGTAAATCGTTGTAATTACCACGGTAAACTTTTGAAACACTTTTCCTCTTGTTCTTCTGTTTCTTGTCAGCGTCCGAATCACCATTTTCTTCTTCAATCGGAAGAAAAAACTGGAACAAATTACAATAGGATATATTGCTAGATATATTGCCAGATATATTGCTAGATTGCTAGACTGATTCGTTTCTATGGCTTATCAAATTATTGCAACAAATTTTTACTACGTTACTTAAAAATCGAAAACTGAAATGAATAAATACAAATAAACAAAATAAAGTAAAATAAATAAAAACCAAGCAAATAATAAACAAATTAACAAACCACTCCTGTTAGAATAGACGAAATAGAATAAATAAAAATAAAAAATAAAATACATAAAAAACAAGTAAAACAATCAACCCAAATAAGTAAACAAAGTAAATAATAATAAAAAAATTAACAAGCCAATCCCACCAAAATAAACGTCAGAGTAGACTACAACAACCAATCCAAAAATTGCACGTAAAAATAGCTATAACTACTATATATCGATAAAAAACCATCACTACGTTACTCAAAAATCGAAAACCAAATAGAATAAATAAAAATATACAAAATAAAAAAATAAGTAAATAAATAAAAAAACTAATAAAAATTAATCCAAATAAATAAATAAATGAACAAATTAACAAATGGTCCCCGCTAAAATAACCGTTAGAACTAATAAAAATAAGCAAAAACAAGTAAAAATAATCAATCCAAATAAATAAATTAAAAACTGTCTACCCGCCAAAATAACAGAATAGAATGTAGTCCGGGAACCAGCGAAAGTATTTCGTCAGAACAGTTGCTGGGAAAAAAGGGAGGTCACAGCACGTCTGTGGGAAAGCGATTGTAAACTAGATGCCAGATCAGGACCTATCATATTGCATATTCGTCTCTAGATTTTGTCGAGGACCTCGAGACGTACAGCGGGAGCTCTAGACCATATATGACAGCTATATTCCATGCAAGGATGGATGGTTGATTTATAGATTTGAAGGATGGACTCAGATGAGTAAAAACTTTTTGGCACGACACAGAGAACCAATTTTCCTTGCGGTAGATGAAGCTATTGATTCAATGTATTTATCCCACCTCATGACAGTGGACAGCGTGAGACCAAGCAGGAGTAACGAAGCGCTCTCAAGGAGTTGAGAATCAGCCGTTCTGATGGGGGGCAGGAAGGGTTCTCTGAGGTGGGTAAAGGAGAGCAGTTTCATTTTGGTGGCATTAAAGTTTACAAGCCATTTGCTGCCCCAGTCAACCACAGATTGGAGGTCCTTTTCCAGATCAGCAGTCAGGTTAGTTTTATCAATAATACCAGATTTGCTATTGAGGCAGGGGTAAATAGTGGTGTTATCCGCGTAGATGCCAACTTGGGGACTAATGTAAGTTCATTGATAAAGATCAGGAAGAGTGTAGGGCCCAAGATAGAGCCTTAAGGAACACCTGCGTTCGTGATAAAGGAGCCGGAGGAGAACCCGTTTAGGACGACCTTCGTTTCACTGTTAGACAGCAATGATTGTATTAAGTCAAATAATCGTATTTCTGAAGCTTACGAAGGAGGCCAGCATGCCAGAGCCTATCAAATGCTTTAGAGATGTCTACAGCTTCGGCTCAAGCTTCTCTGTTATTGTTGAGTGCTTGGCATACAAATTCAGTTATGGCCGTGAGCACTTCAGCAGTATATCGGGCAAAGCGGAAACCATATTGATTATCGGAGAGCAGATTATGTGAAGTAAGGTGCTAAACCACTTCAGCTTTGATTAAGGCCTCGAAGACTTTACCGAAGTGGGGTAAGAGACTGATAGGACGGTAGTTAGACGGGTCAGAAGGGTCACCAGAGTTCTTAAAGACTGGCACAACAGATGAGGACTTCCAACAGGATGAAAAGCAAGAGTCAGTGAGGCAGTAGTTGTAAAGTTTAGAGAGGACAGGTTCCAATTCAGGAGCACATTTCTTCAGGACATTGGCTGGTATCCCGTCCCCACCACTAGCCTTAAGGGAGTCTAATTTAGAGATGATGTCCAAGATCATCGTTGGGGTTATGTGCGTTTCATGCAGTAGAGCCTCAGTTCTAGGGGGAAACTTCGGTGTAGGTATACCAGATCAGTCTAACGTTAAATTGGATGAGAGCTTATGAGCAAAGCATTCAGCCTTATCAGCTGAGGAGGTCAGGACCCCAAATTTGTTGAAAAAAGCGGGTATTGTGGGTTTGCTGTTGTTCAGCACGCTTTTGCAGCGCCACCAAAAATCTTTTGAACCAAACTTGCGAGACGATTCATTCTTTCTTGAAGGAGTATCTTTGCTTCTTTGAGAACATGCTTGCACTCGTTACAGGCAGCGACAAAGAGACGTCTGTTGTAATCAGACATGTCTCTACAGTATAGACGGAAGTAGTGATTCCTGTGGGCAATAACTCCTGAACAAGCAGCTGAGAACCAAGAGGATGAACGCGATTTTATATTTTCTTGTAGCGATGAAAGCCTCGATTCCAGCACTTTTTTCTTATTTCTTTGATTGTTTGTAGTCATGATGGGTAATGTTGGTAGTGAAAGTGAGTGGGCCTAAAGTAATAGTAGCTGAACGATCACCGTATGTAACATGGGCAGAAAGGAACTGGAGCAGTCTGCAACATAATGTGGCCTTGAGGTTTCCCACCGGAGGTGAATGCAGGGAAACCCTTCCATGCGCGACATGGCACTACAAGCACCCCGATATTATTCAATTGTTGATCAGAGCAGCCGCTCAAGACGCTACGCAAGAGTTCGGGCTCCTATCAGTCGGGAACATCAATCAGAAAGCTGTCAACCAACCTGGTACCCTCAGTATGAAGAGACGTTGCCACAGACTGCACTCATCACAAGGGACTCACGACAGCACTTATACAGAGGCCAGAGGTAAGGAAAAGAGCCGGGAACCCCTTCGTAAACAGAAAACAAAGAATGAGTCTCTATACCTATTCAAAGAAGGGGAAGGAATGTTGACTGGGTGATAGGTAGACCTATCTACTTCTATTACACACACACACGTAGAAAAAATGTGTTTATATAAAGTTTTAACTTAGTTTAAATGCCAACATACACTTTGACGTAAAGGAAGAAAGACTAAGCCACAACATAGACGATATACTAGGCTGAGTTAACTGTTCCATGCTAGTATGATTATTTCGAGGAATTCATATTCAAACAAAGAACACAAAATAGGAATTGAAATGAAGGAGAGGTGGAGAAGCTAAAAAAGAACATTATTCTAAACTAATAGAATTAATAAGAATAAACGAGAAGAAAGAAAGAAATTGATTAAATAAATAAAATGAACAGGAAGAGAAGAGATTCAAATTGAACGATTGCTTACAAAGACAATCAAGCGAGCGAACGAGAGACAGTGTTTTTTGAAGAATGAAATATTAATATAAAATTAAAAGAGGAATTAAAATTAGTATAGAAATAGCATAAATATATAGATAATAGATAGATATAATATATATATATATATATATATATATATATATATATATATATATATATATATAATATATATATATATATATATATAATATATGGTATATATATATATATGATGTATATGATATATAATATATGATATATATATGATATATGATATATATATAATATATATATATATATATGATATATATTTTATATATATATTATATACATATAATATATATGATATATATTTTATATATATATATATATATATAATATATATCATATATATATAATACATATATATATATATATATCATATATATATAATACATATATAATATATATATCATATATATATATCATATATATATGGTATATATATCATATATATATATATATATATATATATATATATGATATATATATGATATATATAATATATATATATAATATATATATATATATATATCATATATATATATATATATATATATCATATATATATATGATATATATCATATATATGATATATATATATCATATATATAATATATATAATATATATATGATATATATATATATGATATATATATATATATATATATATATATATATATATATATATATATATATATATATATATATATATATATATATATATATATATGATATATATATCTTATATATATATATATCATATATATATATATATATATATATATATATATATATATATATATATATATATGATATCATATAATGATATATTTTTGAGAAGGATTATATCATATATATATATATCATATATATATATATATCATATATATATTATATATATATATATATATATATATATCATATATATATATATATATATATATATCATATATATATATATCATATATATATCATATATATATATATATATATATATATATATATATATATATATATATATATATATATATATATATATCATATATATATATCATATATATATATATATATATCATATGTAAGCAAATATATGGATATAGATCCGACAGTATGAAAGAAAAATACAGAAAATCAAACAAAAATCTGAATATGCAATTATGTAGTATTAATGTTAATATAAAGTCGACGTCGGACGTTTCGGTCTTTTAAGACCATCTTCATGGACATTTTCATTTAAACATAATTAACATTAGAACTTATAAAAATTTAACACAAAAAGACGATGAATTTCCATAAATATATATATATATATATCATATATATATATCATATATATATATATCATATATATATATATATATCATATATGTATATGATATATATATATATCATATATATGATATATATAATATATATAATATATATATCATATATATATATATGATATACATATATATATATATATGATATATATACATATGATACATATATATATGATATATATATATCATAAATATATATGATATATATGTATATATATGATATATATATATATGTGTGTGTCTGTGTGTGTGTGTGTGTGTGTGCGTTTGTTGTCAGGTAATTGAATGCCAAAGTGAAAAATTATTTGTAACGCATTTTATCCTCTTTTTGAGATTTCTTTGGATTGGAGTAATGTTCTTTTAGATGGAATTATG